CCCCCCCATTCCTACTCTCCTTGCAATACAACCCTCCTGGGAGAAGAATGGCTAGCTGAATGGCTCACTCAATGGGTTCTTAGAACACCCACTACCATCACCACCAATGGAATCAGAACTAGGATAATTTCTTGATAATATCCTCACACAACAGAAAAATTCTCAGATTGACTGGGTAATAGAAATCCCATCCTCATATGCACACAAAAATTAAATTTATAAGAGAAACTAGGGTGTTTGAGAACCTAGACTCATCCACCATGCTCACCTCTTGCTCCTCTATCTCTAGTAGAATTAATGACACTTGATTATCTGGTAATGACTCACTTTCATCTCGCTCTTTCCTATCGGACTAGATGTCTGATTTAGTTTCACATCTCTGCCAGTGCCTAGCTGAAGGTCAAGCTATAACAGTAGCTAACAATTGTCCGTTCAACACTGGGTTCTGTGTTAACCCTTTTTTAACAATTTTCTCACAGTCAAGACATTCTTATGAGATAGGTGCTGTTACTAATTTCATTTTCGAGATGAGAAAAATGAGTCTTGGTGAAGTGAAGTAACTAGTCCAAGACCATAGGACTGTATTCTCATATACCTCCTTCCACAATGAATGAGTGAATAAATGATGTCCCTCTCTGCGGGTTAATGAGCTGGACTGCAAAGTTGGTCTGAACCAAAGGTTGGCAATTCAAGCTCACCAACCGCTCCTTGAAAACTCTATACAGGGTTGCTATGAGTTGGAACGGACTTGACAGCATTTAGCAACAACTCTAATAGAGCAGTGGACAGATCCTAGGGGATCTTCAAAGACAGATGGGTGGGGAGACTCCACATTGGTGATGCATTATTATTCATTAGCCCAGCACTGGACTAGACAAGAATGCAGGACAGCCTCTGTGGATCATGCCTAAATCAATCTCCTCAAGCTGCAGACAGCAGAGATTTCTGTATGCTGCCCTTGGAGGGATGGTTGTAGAGGCTTAAGAACAAAAGTGGTTTCTATGGGGCACAACACACATCCCTTCCCATCCTCCTACTTGAGGATGGTTCTTTTTTCTTTGTTTTTAGTGGTTTTGTTTGTTTGTTTTAAAGCTTTTATTGTGAATTGAGTGATAGTTTACATGGGAGAACATTGTTTGTTGTTTGTTTGTTTTTTTTAAGTCTTTGTTGTGCATTGAGTAAAAGTTTACAGGGCAGATCATCAGTTTTATTTATATTCAACATATCATATACTTTGTTTCATTACAATGATTATGATCCCCTCCATGTACCATCAGTTAACAGTACTTCTCTCTATTCATTTTAGCTTTCTCTTTCTCTTTTTTTTTTTTTTTTTAAAAAACAAACACTCAACTATGTATAGTAATTTACACCATCAAAGGGCACATTCTGCAAGTCTGCCTCCTGGCTGCCAGCTGTCAGTCCCTCTTTTTCCATGAATCTAGAGTCCTCAGCTGCTCCATCTCTCTATATCCCTATATCTACCTCCATCTCTGGTGTTGCTGCTTCTCTAGATAAGGTACAGCATTCCACTTGAGCTCTTCTCACTTGATGGCCCTAGGGTTCTCTGTTTCTGGACTGTAAGATTAACTACTCCCCCATTTTTGGAGGACATTAGTTTTGCACTCATCCTATTGTATTTTGTTTCATTACAATTATTACAATCCCCTCCATGCATCATCATTTAACAGTATTTGCTTCTATTCCCTCTGGTTTGTTTTGTTTTATGTACACAAAAGCTCTCAGGAATATATAATCTCATTTTAAATATATAATTTAAACAACCAAAGGACACATTTGTCAAGCCTGCCTCCTGGCCGCCAGCTCACAGCCTTTCTTTCTCTTTCCATGAGTCTAGAGTCCTCAGCAGCTCTGTATCTCCATGCCATCACCTCTGCCACCATCTCTGGTGTCACTGTTTCTCTGGTTAGGGTCCCACATTCTATTCATGTTCTTTTCTCTTGATTGTCCTAGGGTCCTCTGTCCCTGATATGTAAGATTAACCCCACCCCACTTTGTTAAAAAACTTCTACCTTTACAGTTGTGACAATCACAATTAGTCATGATAACAATTACTCACTATTGAATCAAAAGAGTCCTATCCCCATCTCCTTTCACCAGACCCATCTGGACAAGATGAAAATTATTTAGTGGGGATTTTACCTTCCCCTACACATGCTAAAACTAAACTCCCCTGTAAGCCAGCCACTTCATGCCTTTACAATCCTCTTCCCCTTTACCCCTCCCCCCCATTTTAGGTAGCCAATGTCTAATTTGTCCATCTCTATCAACCCTGTATAGTGAGGGGACAGCGTTGATCCTTGACGTGAAGACTCCTTCCCTCTTGGTTGGTATTTTGAGCTACTACATCCATAAGTGTTTAGGGATGTTTCAAACAGTCAAGCTAGATCCTAAAGGATAGCTGAGATTTAGAGATGATGAAGGTTAAGAGAGTTGGGTCGGAGAAACAGCATATTACTGCTTATTATGTGCTTGTGCTGGTGTGGTACCTTAGGATAAACACTTGACCTCAAGGTCGGTTTGAACCTCAAGGTTGGTTCAAGCTCACCAGTTGCTCCTCAGAAACTCTGTACAGTGTCACTGTGAGTCGGAACGGACTCAAAGGCACTTAACAACAATTATGTGTTTAAAGTCCTGGTGTGGCACTGTGGGGTAATGCACTGGACTGAAAGGTCAGTTTGAACTGCAAGGTTGATAGTTCAAATTCACCAGTCGCTGCTCAGAGATCCTATTCAGGGTTGCTATGAGTTGCAACCAACAGCACTTAACAGTTGATGTGCTTGGTATTATGTTAGTGCCACAGATACAAATGGTGAACGACATAGACCCTGCCCTGCCTTCATGGAGCTTATAGTTTAGTGGCCAAGACAGACATAAACAAATTAACCACCCATACAAATGTGTAATTATAATCTGCAATAGGCATTATGAAAGAAAATAGCAGGGTAATATGAGAGCTCATGATGGAAAGAAGCCTGATCTAACATAGGGACTTGGGTGAGTCCACCCCTAAGGAAGGGTCATTTGAGCTTGGATTTGAATGAAAAGGAGAGTTAACTAGGAGAAGATGGGGGACAAGGATTCAAAGCCCACCAGCAGAAGGAACAGCAATGCTGTATAAGATCCTGAGACAGGAAGGAACTGGGGAAGTCTGAAGAACTGAAAAGTCACAGGAAGGCTGAAACGCAGTGGAATCAGTGGGAGGAGAGATGAGAAGAGATAGGTGACGGCTGGTCTTGTAGGACCTTTAGGCTATATTAAGAATTTGGGTCTTTATGGAAAACAGTTGAAGGATTTAAAACAGAAACTTTCCAAAATAATCTGTTCCCTCTAAATAGATCTGTTTGCAATATGAAAACAGACTATAAGGTGATAAGAGAGGAAAGCGATGAATTAGCAGTCTTGTACTAGTCCAAAGGAGCCCTGGTGGCACAGTGTGTTAAGTGTTGGGCTGCTATCCACAAGGTCAGCAGTTCAAACCCACTGACCACTCAGATGGAGAAAGATGAGGCTATCTGCTCCTATAAACAGTCTTAGAAACCCTAAGGAGCAGTTCTACTCTATCCTATAGGGTTGCTCTGAGTAGAAATCGACTTGACAGCAGTAGGTGAGTATTAGTCGGGGTAAGAAATAACGGTGGCTCTATTTGATGGCAGTAGAGATGAACAAAGGTAGAGAGATGGTGAGAACCAAACAGGGAGTATGTAGGCAGCGGGAGCCTAGGTGGCATGTGGTATTCCGTTGAGTTCTGGTGTGGCGCTGTAGGATAAGCCCTTGATCCCAAGGTCAGTTTGAACTGAAAGGTTCAGCGGTTCAAACTCACCAGCCACTCTTCGGAAACCCTATACAGCCATGCTATGACTCGGAACCGACTCAATGGCACTTAACATCAAGAAGCTAACCTAAAGGTTGATGGTTAGAATTCACCCAAGAAAGACCTGGTCATCTGCTTCCCTAAAGAGTACTGCTAAAAGCATCCTATGGTGCAGTTCCACCGTCACATCGGGTCACTATGGGTGGAAACTGATTGCAAGGCTGACAGCTCTTTTCTTTTGCTTTACTCCCTCATTCATTTAATCAATGCTTCAAGGCCAGGTATCCCAGCTCAGGCCTTAAACTTGTCTGGGCCCAGGGATCCTCATCAGCTAACAGGAACCTGGTGAAATCAAGAGGACTCAGTTCGCAGGGTGTATATGCCCAGTCCTGTGTTTCTCCCTCAGGGCAAGGAGTTTGAAGGTCCCGTCTGCTCAGCCCTACCCCCCACCAAATCCTTTCCTAGTCCCATGAAGGCCTCTCAGGTTAGGAATTTCATCCCCCAAGTCACGGAAGCAGGTTTACACTCCTCTTCTCCCAGACTCCTTAGAGTCTGCCCACTTCCCTGTGAGAGACAACTATTCGTTTTTCATCCACTTAACAAAGGAGGGTTACTAAAGTAGAGTTCTATGCTTTTGCTCTATGCACTATACTGTCTAATTCTCAACTATCTTTGGTTGTTATTAAGTGCTGAGGAGTCGGTTCTCATAGCGACCCTCTGTAGGGTTTCCAAGGAGCAGCTGGTGAGTTTGAACCGCCAACCTTGTAGTTCTAACCGACCTTGCGGTCTATTGGTCATCCTACAGCGTCACACCAGGATTCCTCCTTTAGAATCCTAAATTATTATGGGACCAGGGCACACTTTCCCAACTTGGGCTCCAGGAAAGTATAGGGGTTACTTGTCCCATTTGGGGGAATATAAGTACTTAAGAAACAAAATTTGAAGCTATCAGGCCGAGAGGAGGTTGGAAAGGGTTCAGCCCCGCTTGTGACTCTCTTGCCCTATGCTCAACTCAGAATCCCAAATCCCTTGCTTTACAAGTAGAACACCTAGGAGCAGCACCTAACGCCTTGCAGCTCTGCAGCGAGCAAAGCATAGGGGCGGAGAAGACCTCTGTGATGTCACAAGACTACGCCTCTGTCGGGAGGACGCTGCGCCTGCGCCAGAAGCGCTGCCTCGCTCCCGGAAGTGGAGGGTCTACACTGAGAGCACCTCTGGGTCTGGGTTCCGGGAGGCAGCAGCGCTTGCGGAGCTTGCCCCACAATCCCGGACCGCCATGTCGGCCTTCGACACCAACCCCTTCGCGGACCCAGTGGACGTAAACCCTTTCCAGGTAGAGCCCCCAACTGACATCTCTTCCTGGGGCCAAGGGCTACCGCCCGGGCCTCTTTCGCCGTAGGCCAGAGACGTGGCGTAGGAGGGACGGGCTATCTACCCAATGGGAGAGAAGGCTCTGAGGGCTGACCCATCGTAACATTTGGGAGGCGGGACTAGCAACAGGTGGCGCTGAAGAAGGGGGGGCGTGGTAGCAGCAGAGGAGGTGGGGTCTTTTAGCAGCCAGGACGTAGACCCCCCCCCTCTTGCTGGGCACTGTTGGGGAGCGGGACGGGAACAGTCAGGGTTGGACCCTCGAGGATATTCCCCAGTGTTAGGGAGAGAAGCCACCCTACTTGAGGCGTTTCTACCACATCTCTTGGTCTAGAGGAGACGCCTTCCTTGAGTTGCCTTAGAAAAGGGGCGACAGCAACACAGTGAGAAGGTGGGAGCCTCTGATGGAATGGAAAAACGTGGAAAAAACCCAGCCCCCGCCTATTTCCCCCAACAGCGTACAGCATAGGAGAACCCCTGAGAATTGTCAAGAAAGTAAGATTGGGAGGAAGTGAAGGAAGCCCAAACTGAAAAATGGCCATGATAGAAATTTCACACTTTGGTCACGGTCCTAGTTTGGAATAGGTTTTGATCAGATATGAAGAGCCAGATTAGGGAGGGGAGAGAAGTGAGGGAACTGTGCCTGTGTGGGGACAGGGAAGTTGAGACACACTGGATAGACGATCAAGGAAGAGCCAGTCTTTCTGTTTAAAGCCCAAGCTTTTGAGAACCCTTTCCATGATGAAGGACTGGGACGCCTCCTAGCCCCAAAGCTCCTTGTGCCTCTTGGTACATGGCTGCTCAGAATCGTTCTAGGGAAGCTTCCTTGTGCTGACCAGTGCTTTATAAGCCTTTATGTGTCTGCTGCCAGGATGTCACCAGGCACATTATTTTGCTCTTTGGTACTTTATTTTGATCATTGGTAGCTTCAAAGTTTCCTACAAGGTGTAAGGGAAGTGCTTGGAGGGGCCCTTCCTGCCACTCACAGTATGAACTTTCCCACCTTGAATCCCTCAAAGGATTAGAGCACAGCTTCTCTGATCAAAGACAAAGGAGACTTTAACTAATTATATGCTGTCAGATGAGTGAAAGCTTTATGCTTCTTTCTTGAACTCAGGGTGACTTATCCAACAGAAGCCCTCAAGGTGGTTTTCGGTAGCTTGTTCCTTGTACCATCAGGGAATTCTGAGCATGTAGCGAAATGCTTCTTGACTGAACTTTTACAAGGAACTTGTTTCTCAGTTAAGGCAGTCATCTCTAGGAGTTGTAAAGAAAGAACATTTGCATTTTTTTTTGCTGCAGTGTCTTCTGTTAACTGTTTTGTTTTGATTACAAAATGGTGCATGATATCGGAGTTTGGGTTTTTGTAAGGATCTAGGTAGTCTTTAGGAGTCCTGATGTGGCGCTGTGGGGTAATGCAGTAGACTGCAAAGCCGTTTGAACTGCAAGGTTGGTGGTTCGAGCTCACCAGTTGCTCCTTGGAAACCCTATACAGGGTCTCTGTGGGTCGGGATCGACTCGACAGCACTTAACAACAACAACAAGGTAGCCTTTAGGTGTGTGGGATATGTGATAGTTTGCTTTACTCCTCACCCTTTGCCTCCTGCTGTTCTGTCAAAAATAAAATGTGTGCTGACCGGCAGGCAAATTAGCTGTTCAGAGATTCAGAGAACTTGTCCCAGACGCTGACAGTGGGCAAGATAGTTGGACTACTTTCGGCCCTGTATTAATAGCTACCTGGAAGTCTCAAACCACATCTGCAGCCCCAGAAATGATTGTGCAAACTATGGTAAAAGTAACTTCTGCCTTCAAGCAAGACATTCTTTCTGTCAGACAGTCCTAGGATATGGCAGGACAGGAAACAGCTGTGGCCCTATACACATCAGCTTCTGGTAGGGGAAGAAGAGAGCTGGTTGGCTGCAATTCTTTTCCTCCTCGTCCTGGCCTAGGATTTTCTTCTTGGCATATGGCTGTGTGGAGAAGCAGTTTTGGAGACTCCTGGTCAGAACTTCTCTGCATCTTCTTAAAATGGTAGTGTCTGCCTCCCTGAGTGCTGGGGCTGGGCTCTTGGGAGGGTGCAGCCCTTAAGTAACTGGGTGTGAGCGCAGCTTCATTTTCACAGGGTGTTGGCACAGAGCTCAGGAGACGATAGATAGAGCTGATAGACTTAGAAACTGTCACACTGTATAAGCCTTCTAAGCAGAGATTTTTTTTTCCCCCTTCATCCCATGAAAAGGTGGGTTGCAAAAACATACTTAACATTCAGAGTCCATGGTTGAGTGTTAGAACTGGGAAGGGTCTCAGTAATCTCTTCTAACTCGTGCAGTTTAGAGATGAGGAAGCCAGGACCCCAGTGAAGATGACTTGTGCCGAAGTCACCAGCTAATTAGCCGCAGGAAGGGGCCCAGATTTGGATCTCATTCCCAGAACAGAGCTGTGCTGTAGACTAAGCACTGGACTGCTAACCGCAAAGTCAGAAAACCACCAGCTGCTGCTTGGAAACCCTATACAGGGTCCACCAACTCAGTGGCATTTAACAACATCAAAGCTGAGACATTGGTGTTAAAACTGACTTGGGGTTTTCAGGCCAGCTATGGAGTCCTGGTATGGCACTGTGGTCATACCTCAAGGTCAGCAGTTCAAGCTCATCAGTTGCTCCTCAGAAACCCTATACAGGGTCACTACAGGTTGGAACCAACTTGATGGCACTTAACAACAACAAGGAAAGAATGGAGTCCTGGTGTGACACCATAGTAAGCACTAGACTGAAAGGTCAGTTTGAATCGCAGAGTTGGCAGTTTAGGTTCACCAACTGCTCTTCAGAAACCCTGTATGAGTGGATACCAACTTGATGGCACTTAACAACAAAACAAGGAAAGAATTCAACATCACCATCCTCACCATTCTTGAAATGAGAGCACTGATAGTAACAAATTCCTATTCACTAAACTATTTCTCCACCTATTCTATGGGGATGCGATAATACAGGTTTTATTGAGCTTTTTAAGACCGCCCTTTAAAGCAACATATGCCACACAGATTATGTTCTGAGTCACAGCAGCCCCGAATGGTGCTCCGGGGTCTGTGGTCAGATAAGCTTGGGAGCTGCTGCCTAGCCCCTTTGTTTCTTGAAGGTTGACAAGACCTACTAGCTTGTTAAAGGCCCTTCGGAATCCTACAATGAAGTCACTTTTTTGACCCAGCATTGTTTTGTTTTTCTTTTTTGATGCACACCTTTCCTGTTTTTTTTTGTTGTTGTTGTTTTCCCCTTAACTTCTTAATTGTGAATTGAGTGATCCCCACAATTTCTTCAAGTTATTCAACCATGGAACATTTTCTCTGCTAAGTCTTGTTAATGCCAAGGTGCCTTTATTTCCTTGTTCTCTACCAGACCCCCTTCTCCATCCCCACCCTAGACTGTGGGCGTGGGCTTTGATGACCTTTCTCTTAGGCATTGCTGTAATTGTGATGATTCTAAACATTTCTGCTCAGTAAGGGAACTATGGCTGGAGAGTTAATCACAAGAGTGCAGCAGAGGTTTTACAAAACTCCTAGGAGGAAGCAGGAAACTGCAAACCAAGTGTTAAGATTTCACAATCTTCCCTTGCACGTCTTAATCCTTCTGTTCATTGCAACAGATGCTCTCTACCCTGTGGATTTGGGACTCCCTACTTTGTAATGTAGTGGTTACGAATTGGGCTGCGAAACGCAAGGTCAGCAGTTCGAAACTACCAGCTGTTCCGCAGGAGAAAGATGAGGCTTTGTGCTCCCGTAAAGATTTACAGCCTCAGAAACCCTGCTCAGGGTCGCTGTGAGTCGGAACCGACTCCATGGCACATAACCACCACCACCACCACCGCTTTGCACTAAGGAGTGTCGCTATGACACTGTGTGTTAATGTACCAGACTGTAAAGCTGTTTGAACTAGAAGGTTGGCAGTTCAGGATCACCAGCTGCTTCTCGGACACCCTATGCAGGGTTGCTATGGGTAGGAACTGATTCAGTGGCACTTAACAACAACTTTGCCCTAAGGCGTCCTGGTGTGATATTGCAGGATAATGTGCTGGACCACAAGGTCAAACTCAGCAGCCACTCCTTGGAAACCCTATCCAAGGTCGCTGTGAGTCAGGACGACTTCATGGCACTTAACAACAACAACTTTGTATGAAAGGAGCCCTGGTGGCACAGCGGTCAAGCACTCGGCAAACCCACTAGCTGCTCCTTGGGAGAAAGCTGTAGCAGTCGGCTCCGGTAAAGCTTCCCAACCTTGGAACGCCACTGCTCTGTCCTGTAGGGTCATGATGAGTCAGAATGGACTTGGCGGCAGCAGGTGTGGTGTAGTTCATTTTGGACTGACACCAGGATCTCTCCAAATGGTTTGAATTCAGTTGTGTGGTAGAGGGGTTAAAGGTTGCCGTGTCTGTTTTATTTGTCAGCAGTCCACTAAGAAATGCCGGGACCACTTACTTTCTCCGTGTTGCTGCCCGAGTAGCCACGGCAGACAGCATCGATCTCCGGAGGCAGTGGAATAGTTGATGGTGCTGAGCAGAGGAAGCCTTTCAGTGTTGTTGAGTTGCCAGATCCCACTGTATCACTCTTGCCCAGTGCCTCCTTGCAGCTAAAAGATAATTTCAGTGGAGCGGCTTGCTCCAAGGATCTAAGACATTCCTCTCCGGTGGGAGGAGATGGTGGTGCAGAAATGTGATTTGGGTGTGACAGTTACATGCAGTCTCCTGCCTGTTTTGTTAGGTGCCATTGAGTTGGTTCCGACCCATAATGACCCTGTAAAGGGTTTCCAAGGAGCGGCTGGTAAGCTTGAACTGCTGACTTTGCAGTTCAAACTGACCTGTAGTCCAGAACTTTAACTCACAGCTCCACACCAGGACACCTGCATAGGCATTCAAAAAACCAAAACAGTGGCCATTGAATTTATTTCACTCACGGCAATGCCATGTGTGTCATCAG